GGATAACTGGTCCTGGAAACAGGACCTTGTTTGACAGAACTTTATCGCTCCAGATGCAGAGGCTATCCTGAATATTCCTCTACGGCGCGGAGGGGGTGCAGATACAATGGCATGGGCACATGAGAGGACAGGTAACTACACTGTTAAGTCAGCGTACCAAGCTCTAGTGATTCAGAAAGAGCATCAAGCTCGAGAAGAAGGGCCGGCTACAGAAGCTTCAGTTGATAAAAAGCAGTTGTGGAAAACTCTCTGGTCTCTCAAGGTGGTACCTAAAGTGCGCGTGTTCTGGTGGAGGGTACTCCGTGGTATACTGCCAGATGAACGCACACTAAAGCATCGACATATCCGATTAATGAGTATATGCAAGCTCTGTCAATCACATGAAGAAGATCTACAGCATGCACTTATATCCTGCTCACATGCTCGAGGTTTTTGGGACGAAGCGCGCAAGCTACTGGATGTTAAACTACCACGGCTTCATCCCTCGACTTGGGCAGCTGATATTTTATGTGAACCAAGGTTCTCACATAGAGAACGTGCGACGATAATCACAGTGATGTGGTCTATTTGGACTTCCCGGAACAGATGGACGCATGATCGGCATAAACTTGACCCGGCCAACTCGATGAGGCTTACTCGAGAAGCCCTGGCCCTACTTGATATCCCTGTACAACACGCAAAAGTTTTTCCAGGGCATGGGTGGCGGCCTCCGGAATTAGATCAAGTCAAGATCAATACAGATGCAGCAGTCGCCCATGATGAAGGCAAAAGTGGAGCTGGTGGTGTTGCTAGATCACCCACAGCCCTGTTGGGTGCTTGGTGTAAGCCACACCCTAGAGTTACTGACCCCATGATAGCGGAGGCCCTTGCAGTTCGGGATGGAGTTATTTTTGCAAATCTCAGAGGGTTCACGAATGTGGTGGTCGAGACTGATAGCCTGGAGGTGGTCAACCTTTGGAACACTCGCCGCAGCAGTCGATCAGTTGTGGCACCAGTTATCTTAGAAATTGAAGAGCTTTCTGATAGTTTTCATTCTTTTGTAATCCAACATATAAGTAGATCAGCCAATGGTCCAGCTCATCTTTGTGCAAAGCGTGCTTGCACGATGACTGGCACCGAAAGCTGGCTTACGGAGACTCCCAGCTTCCTGATTAGCAGCCTTATTGCTGACTGTTCAGAGAACGCTTTTGTTTGAATAAAAGCTCTAAATTCTCTGCAAAAAAGTTAGAGAAACTCCAACGGGGCCACCCATTTTGTCCACTGGCGTCCGTTTGGGTCGGCGCGGACACAAAAACTGTCCCAACGTGCCGACCCAAACGGACGCACGTCTGCTTTTTGTTCGCTTGCCGACCCATTCCCGGCCATTAGTGAGCCGATTTGCGTCAGCATGGACATGAGACGGACGCGCGCGCTCACCTTCTCCTCCCCCCGGGCCCGCTGGTCGGTGGCAGCCTCCAACATTTCCCTCCATTTCTCCCCAAAAACCCTCCCGCCCGCGCGCGCTCCCGCCCCCCGCCATGGACGACAACCTCGACCTCAACGCCGCCGCCAGCCTCGCCCCCCTCGCCTCGTCCGGCGGCCCCCTCCGGCAAAGGCAAGCCTCGCGCCCCCTGCAAGACCACCGCCGCACCCAAGCCAAATAAGAAGCTGATGCCCGAACATCGGGCAAGGGAGTCGACCAAGAGGAAGGGCCGGAGGCACGCGACGGACGCGAGGGATGAAGCCATCGCGCCGGCTGCCGTCGCTACCGCGCAGCAGGAGGTTACCAACGCCCGCGTCACGGCGGCAATGAGGGAGGCGCTCTACATGCTAGTGTTAAACCCTAGCCACACGGCCTCGTCAACGCCGCCATGGCCGCGGCCAGCATCGGCTCATCCGCGTTCCCTCGGATGGTGCTGCCCAACTCACGTCGCACGTCGGCTTGCACCCCGATGCCCAGCTTCCACGTCTACCCGCAGGCCTCCTACCTCTCCGGGGAGTGCTCACCCGAGATGAGCGTGGTGGCTCCTTCCACGCCCGCGCCCCCGCCCGCGCCCATCAACCTCAACGCCACACCGGTGGCCAGTGGCTCGTCATCCAGAGGCGTGAGGAAACGCGCACGGCACATGCCAGCCAACGTGCTGCCGGGCGCACACAACCTGTTTGACGGAATGTCGGCCTCCGACGACGACGACTACATGCAGAACATCATCTTCCAGGGTGGTGCGCCGGCCGCAGGCTATGATCCTGACTAGACACAAAGCCAGGACGGCCGAGGGGCGCTCACGCCGTCCACCTTTGATCAAGATCAGGCGTCCTTCATGCATGATCAGGTCGGCCTGGACCTGGACGGTTTCCCACTCGACCACGAGTTTCCGGAGGACTACGGACAAGAGGAAGAGGACGAGTGCGACATGGAAGGGGATCCTTTATTCGAGGATGAGCTCGCCAACCAAGCCGGCGGGGCGAAGCCAAAGTGCAAGAGCAAGAGGACCAGGGCATACACGGCGGTCGAGGACAAGCTTCTTTGCGAGTGTTGGAGCGACATTGGGCAAGACCCCAAGATGGGCACCGAACAAAGGGCATCAACCTTTTGGATTCGTGTCCACCGTGAGTTCCATGAGCGCAAGAAGTTTCCGCCGTACCAAATAGTAAGCACGCACGGGTGGGTGTCCATTTCAAAGCGATTGAGGGTGATCCAACAAGAGTGCAACAAGTTTTGTGCCACTCTTGAGAGTGTCGAGGCCCGCCCCGTGAGCGGCATCGGCATGCAAGACATGGTATGCTAGCAAGCCGCCCTCTTATGTGTCATTCCGTTTATGCTTGCGTATTCATTTGCATATCATTTGCCAATATGCTTGCATGAAATACATTTGTAGGTATTTCAAGCGTTGGAGGCATTCAAGGTACAACACAATGGCAAGTAATTCAACCTCTCCCATTGCTTTAGGGTCATCAGAGACGAGGAGAAGTTCAAGGCACAATATGCCGCCGTCAAGGCGCATGGGGGGAAGAAAGCCGTGGAGGAGGTTGGGGCCGGCGAGAAGGCACGACCGCGGGGGAAGATCAACTCCAAGAAGAAGGACAAGCGGGATGCGGCATCGAACGCCTTGATCGAAAGCGTGGAGGGCATGATGAGCAAGAAGGACTCAAGGGAGGAGGAGTGCCGGCGTTACAAATAAGAGCAAATGAACGCCTTCATGGAGATCCAATGAAGGAGGCTTGAGATGGAGGCGGAGAAGCAAGCCAAGATGCTTGAGATGGAGGCGGAGAAGGAAGCCAAGATGCTAGAGATCGAGGCCGCCAACGCCAAGACCAAGGCGAAAGAAGTGGCTCTCGCGAGCATGATGACCGGGGTGGACATCATGAAGGTGGATCTCAACACCGTGTCGCCAAGGAAGAGGCCGTGGTTCGAGAAGATGCAGGCCAACATGCTCAAGATCGACGACGAGTGATCTATGGCGGCGAGCGTCACCCTTTTTTTGTATGCCGGCATGTGTGCTGGCATGACCATGGGGCCGCGATGGCGTGGTCGAACTCAAGTCCCATCCCTTTTTGTGTGCTGGCATGTGTGCGGTGTGCCGGCTGCTGGCGAGCGCGCCAACATGAACTCTGCGGTGTTATTTTGAAGCCAGCATTGTATGCCGGTGCTGGCAATGCTGCCGGCATGAGACGTGGTCGCTGGCATGATCTATGGCCGAGGGCCTTTTTTAAAAATTGTGTGCGAACATGAAATGGGTCGGTGCGTTGGGCGCATTGCCGACCCAAATCTAAAACAGGGCGGACGGCCGACCCAAACGGACAAAATGCGAACAAATTCGCCGTCCGTTTGGGTCGGCCCGTTGGAGTTGCTCTTAAAACCTATCATAAAACGGAGTTGCCTACATAATTCTCAGATTTAAGCTTGAAAATATGGCGTGTATGAAATTCATGATAGCAAAAATGCTAGTCATTTTTTTTGCAAAAATTGCAGAAATGCTAGTCTCGCGAAGAATCAAGCAGTCAGAATACTTCCTCGCAAAAACAAAAACCAGTCAAAATATTTGCATTATGCCTGATCTTAACTTCTGTACATGGACTATTGGCCAAAAATACCAATTACTATTGAACACAACGTATATAACCTCCTCTCCGGGAGATACCGTAATGTCAATCATACAATGTACCAATGTACACGCACATGCATGGTTGTTCCCGTGGTGTAAGATCTCAGATGAGATGGAACTACTCTACATGGTAACATGGCCACTATTTTGGCACATATGGAACAAAGTACACCAACAGAACCATCAACCGTTAGCATACGCTTACTATACGCTCAGCACACATGCATGTGGACCAAAGACACTGCTGGCGCTAGTAAGTACTACTCCGTTCGTAAATAAATATAAAAACATTTAGATCACTACTACTCCCTCCGTCCCATAATATAAGAGCGTTTTTGACGTAGTGTCAAAAGCGCTCTTATATTATGGTCTACGTCAAAAACGCTCTTATATTATGGGACGGAGAGAGTATATATTTCTTTATAGAGGGAGGACAATTTATCGACACTTCGAAAAGAGCTCACCAATAAGTGATGGACGAGTGATCAACATAGTAGACATATAACACACAGTGACTGACGAGTGTGCTATGGCAGGTGGAATGTAAGTATCAGGCCACCTTGAGTGAACTAAACAAAAGTGAAATGGACATGGCTGGTTGGTCAATACTAAATGAGTGTGATTTTGTGTAGCTGGAGCTACACGGTACCCTCGATCTGTATAAGAGGAGAGACAAGGCTGTGCTTCTTCTTCTTCTTCCCAGGCGAGGTCTCTCCCTCCCATGACAGTCTTCTTCTTCAACTCTTGTCTTCCACCGTCTCTCAGCTCCCTGCTAGGCCATCAGTTTTCGCTTCTCCCATGCATGATATTAGTCATGGACCCTGATGGATGCTAGCTGAGATCTTCTCTATGATCTCTTCATAGATATTTTGCCACCCTTCTCTATGATCTCTTCACAGGTGCTTTGCGACGTTCATGGCCGATTTGACAGGAAGGAGCATGGAACCACCAGCTGCTGCATGGCCACCCTGCGGCTTTCCGGCCAACTGGTCCTTGCGACCAGCTGTGTGGGCTCCTGGCTTCCCTGTCGAGTCTGCAATGTGGTTCCAGACACACGCTTCTAGCAGCTCTAGCGGAGGGCAGCTGCAACAAGAAGAAGAAAAAGAAGCACAATACAAGACGGAAATGAAGATCCACGACCCGATCCAAGCGTTCGCGGAAGCAGCACACGAGTTTAAGGTCGACATCGACATGAGGAACATGAAGATCCACCGGTACCCTGCAAGCATTCAACGTCTCGAAGCCTGCTACACCACCCCGACGACGGTGGCCATCGGGCCTTACCACCACGGGGAGGACCGCCTCAGGCCGGCGGAGAAGGTGAAGCATGTGGCCGCCTACCACTGCATCATGGAGTCGGGCCGCTCCGTCCAGGAGATGTACGCCACGGTGGCCTCGGTCGCCGGCGAGGCCCGAGGGCTCTACGACAAGGACATGGTGGCAGGTATCGGCGACGATGACTTCCTGCCCATGATGTTCTACGATGCCTGCTTCCTGGTGCAATACATGCTCACGTGCACCACTGGTGTATCCGAGATGGATCCGTCGCTGCGCAGCTACTTCGACGGCAACGACAGTGATATCTTCCACGACATCATGCTCCTCGAGAACCAGCTCCCATGGCGGGTGGTCAAGACCGTCATGGGGTTCAGGCCGGTGCCCTTGGAGGAGTTCATCACTTACTTGAAAGATGGCCTGCAAGACCGCAAATTAACCGAGAAGAAGTCTCCGGTCTTGGACGATAGCTACGAGCCGCCGCACCTCCTCGGCCTTCTCCGATTCTACATTGTAGGGAGAAGCAACACCAAGCGCAACCTCCTACCCCAAACCGAGTCCATGTCGTTCTCCGTGAGCGCCATCGAGCTCGCGGAAATCGGCATCACGCTGACAGCCAACAAGACCAGCGAGCTGATAGAGATGGGCGTCAAGAACAAGCGGGTCCTCTTCGCCGAGATCTCCCTGCCATCATTGTCCCTGGACCATGCGCGCGCGAGCTGGCTCATCAACATGGCGGCTTTCGAGGTATGCACCACCCCAAACTTCCAAGCGGTCCAAGACGAGGAGTCCGTTGTCAGCTCGTACCTCCTCCTCTTTGCCATGTTGGTGGACCGGGAGGAGGACGTGCACGAGCTGCGAAGGAAGCGTCTCCTGCAGGGAGGAGGAGGGCTCACCAACAAGGAGGCGCTCGACTTCTTCACCGGGCTTCAGGGTCTACCGCTCGGATCCAGCTATATCCGCATCATGGAAGAGATTGAGAATTACCGGGTCAAGAGGCGAACGCGGACCAAGTTGCACGCCTTCGTTTACAAGAACTTGAGGATCATCGTTACTGTCTTCTCTGCTGTTGGTTTTCTCGCCGGTGTCTTTGGCTCGCTTATGTCTCTCAGGAGACGATCTTAGTTTCTCTAACTTCTTAGTGAACTTTCCTGCATCTGCATCTGCATCTGCATCTGAATGCCATTTGCAGTGATGTTCTCCATTTGTATTATTTATTTGTCTATTCGGGCATGGAATCTCCAAAAAGATGTATATGAGACTGTTTGCTTGGTGCCACTGGGCTAGTTTATATATAGCTAACCGCTGCTCTTGCCAGACAGTGCAATTCTTTTAATCTTCATGTTGCACGTCGTCGATAGGGCATTATGATATATTGATATGGATGGTGGTTAGCTGTAGATCTGGTCATGAGTGAGAGCTAGGCAGTGGGATAGTGGCACCAACCATGCTACATCAAATCACAAATCAAGACTAAAGTATGCATGAACGAGATCATAAGCTAATTGTGCAACCTTAGATGACATGCCACAGTTAACCATGCCTTCTTAGCTTCATCGCTATGGCCAGAATGTGCTGCTTTCAGGATCAACTGGGCGAGATGGCCAGAGAAGTGACATAAGAAAACTTAAAAAGTTGGATGATATATACAATCGGTTATCAGACAGGGTGCGACCAAAAACTGTATGTGTTGTACAACAGACCATGCCGCAAGTAAGTAATAGGCATCAGGATGCAGGACAGAAGACACTCAACTAATTGCACTATACAAGCATCAAAAACTCATGAAACAAAGGGTTGAGTAAACCTCATCTCAATCTGTATATTATAGATAGTACCAGAAAAGCAGTAACACCAGATCATACTTCATTTCAGAGCAAAATGAGTTACTAAGTCAAGTTATACGAGATGAAACTATAACAGTCTGTAACTAAACTCTTCTAAAATCACCGAGAAAATCCTCGGTTTTATCAACCGGAGGTCAAACTGATATCGACATCCACAAAGCCAGCTACAAATATGTTGAACACTGGCCTATGGGTGCAACCACCGGAAGGCGGTAGCACGGGATATGTACAACCGGTTTGGATGGCGGTCCAATAATAGGATATGCATTTAGTCATTTGGTCCTATTTTCGCTGGTTGTGCATTTTATTCTTTTTTATTTAAGTTTGCTCGCGAATATATGTTGAACTACATACTTCCTTACTACTTGACTTAATAAAATGGTTGTGTGCATCACTTGATGCAGAGGCCGGAGGTAATTCTTCATTTCCAAAAAAAAACCCAGCTACAGATAACGATTAGGCAAGATACCCTGCCATTTAAGAAAAGAGAAGACCTTGTGAGTTCACAATTCTGGGGCAAGCGTACACAGGATCGAAACTACCAGGAAAAGAGACTGCTTTGTGACATCATTACAACGTAAAGCACAGGTAACAAGCACAGATAATGTGATCTTAAATACAGTGTATTAGGGCAACGATGCAAAATCCCATCTAGTTCATATTTCCTGTCTCTGGATTCTAGACGTAAGGGAAACAATATGCAATCCTATGTGAGGAGTACAACATCTCGAATACCAAAACAACATTAAATTAAACACATTCACAGTCGCGCAAGGGGCGATCTCTCGCGCATGCCACGTCGTCATATGTATGGATAACACCTTCCCAGGAAGATACTGGCCTCCGTACCCACCCAAGGCCCAGCCCAACCTTACACCGCACGCACGCAACCTCGCCTCTCGTCTCTCTCGCCCACAGCTTCCTCCGGCGGCAGCTGCCCCGAGCGCCTGGGCCTGGCCACTGGAGCTCCGTCTCCCCGAGCTTTTCTATCTGCATCTCACGAGTTTTTTCGATCCGAATCTCAGAGCACACGGGAGAGAGGCTCCGTGCTCGTTTCCAGGACGACAGGGCAGGGGAGGGCGGTGGGTGCGAGGCAAAGAGGGGCGTTGGTTGCATCTGGCGAGACGGGAGGGCGAGATGCTGAGATCTAGCTCCTCGCCGCGGGACGCGCCGACCTCGCCGCTGCCGTCGAGTCCAACGGTGGGTGGTTGTGGCTCTCCCTCGGATGGTCTTCTGACGATGCGCAGCCATCGAGCGGCCCGGACATGCACCCTGACTATCCGCCCGAGGTGCGTGCCTAGCGCCGACCGCGGCGGCGGATTGTAGTCAGTGAGAGAGGAGATGAGTAAGGGCGGCGAGGCGCCGTTTGACGCCTTCAACCACGTCGTCGCCACCTATAAGGTATGTACTTGTGTACTTCTGACTTTCTCGACTAATTGATGAACATGGTACAATTTTTTTCAGGAACTTTTGTTGTGTTGAGTTTTATGTACGAGACAAGTATGTATCATGAACTAACTTCAGATTTTGGTTTAGAATGTCGAGCATAACTATCCATGGTGGTATATACACAAGCAGCGGCTCTGTCCGGCCCGGTGTGGCATATGCGGTCGTCTGTGTTGTGTGCTCTCGACTGTGATGCGTGTGGCGGGCGTGCGAAATGGCGCCGGCCGACGTGCGTTTGTGTTCGTGTGTGTGGCGCTATACTAGCAGAGGAAGCGGGCGGTTGCCGGTAGAGGAGGTTCAGGATTAGTATGGCACGATTAGGATTGTTCACTTTATTTGTTTGGTCTGGATTAGTACAACAATGCACTGATATTTATTTTATGGTGCAGGAACTTCAAGACAACAAGGGTCATCAGGCTCTACACATTCATCTTTGATTTTCTCCCCAAATCTGAAATTGTTGGACCCCTAAATTTTAATCCCCTTGAGAAAGCCAGAGTATTCATGGAATATGGTCTATTGATGTTGACAAATTTGATTGTAGCTGGGACTGGCAAAGTAAGTGCAGTGCTCACCATTGCACATATATTCAGGGCAAAATCAAACTTCAGTCAGAAGAAGATGACCAGGCAGGAGCTATATCCCTCTTGAAAGTTCAGGTATCTTCCTCTTGCATGTTGTTATTGCTCTTTTTATTTGCATTGAAGCGTGGTTGTCATACTATATCCTGGAGAGAAGTGATTGCCTGGTACCTAGGAGGACGGGTGTTCACTTCTTTATTGCTAATGGATAAAATCATCCATCATGAATTTTCCATCTGAGTGGCAACGCTAGACAAGAGGAAGGTCTGGTAACTCTCATCCAATCCCTTTGGTCGTTTTTGGATTTCATACCCGTCGATGTTACTAGGGTTATGGGTTTGAGAGGCTATTTCATTTGTGGTCTGAGATGGAACACCTTGAGTAGGTCCCCGTGTTGGTTTGGTGGCCGGGATTGGGGTTGGATGGATTGTTGTCCCAAATTTGCTAATTCTTGCGTAGTAATCTGTATAGCACAACTGTGACGGTGCCTTTCTGTTTGGTAATAGATGGAATTTTTTGTGCATTTCTCTTTGGTTAGATGAATAGATTGATTGTGATGACTTGTCGGCAATGCATGGCAAGGACAACAAAGCTGCTCGATCTAATAAATAAGAGTTAGAAGACGTAGCTGCTGTCGCATAAGAACCCGTCTCTACTGAAGTACCAGATGCGTAAGTAGACCGATGCTTGTCGTTTTAGTTAATAGTCTGTCATGTTTTACTTGTCTGATACTGATTATACTATGCCAAGATAGCAATGCTATAAGTTACTCAGCATTTTTGTTAAAATTCGAATCTGTAGAAACTAGAAAGGATGGTGCTCTGTTCTTATCTATCTGTTGTTTTCTCATTGTTTCTTTTAGATCCTGACTTTTATTGATGGGAAGAGTTTAAGTGTGGGATTTATGTTACCAAATCCATTTGATCTACTGTTTGGCGCTGATTCAAATGCTCTTGATTTGGCTCTCCACTTGTTATCTGCATTATGTACCCCATGCTTTTGAAAGGTAAGCTCGACAAACAAATTAGTGTAGATCCCTGTTTTCTGGGTAATTGGTGTCATTTTGTGAGTCATTAGTCTTTCAGAGTTAGTGTGATGTAGAGTACTGGGTCTTGTACATTGTTACTCTTTCAGATTTTGTAACTTACGGAAGAGACGAGTAAGGCTGGTAATTAAGAGCTTCCTGCAAAGAACTAACGTTTTAAGTTGGAGAAGGATGCCTACACGCCTAATTTAATAATAGCAACATTTGCAAGGATGCAAAGGATTGTTTTCTATGTTGTTCCCTTTCTTGCTTTACACAAATAACAATCTGGTGGTTCTCTTGTGGAGGGAAAACTCTACATGGTACGTAAGGCGAGGTCTGGGCATACAAGTTGTCATTCTATTTGTTTGTAGAAGTTATTCAATTGAAAAACCTTTATACTTGCGGTTGGCACATCTCCTATCATCAGCTTAAGAAGATATTTACTACAGCTAGAACTTATTATAAATATTTTCTTAGAGGTTGAAACGTCTATGCGCATCAACTTAAAAAGATTCTAGATGCATCTCTTTTAGTTTTGATTCTGCCAGCTTTCAGGGAAATAAACAATTTTTCTTAGAGGTTGATACTTTATTTTACATGTGTGGTAAGAACTTTAGAACTAACGATTTAAGATAGTACCAATGCTCAGTGAACATGTAGCTGTTGTATTAGTTTCTTCTTTTCGCCCATCGATTTGCAGGTCACTAAACAGAAGCCTGCTGAGGTTTTCTCAAACTAAGGTCAAGTATGCTCTTAGACTCCTTGATATTTAATATTGGTTGTGATAAGTTCGTATGTGTTTTTATATATCTTGAAATAAAATAAGCAACTTGTTTTTTAATGACTAAAAATGGTGTAAGTGGAATTCATCATCTTAAAAAGTATCTAGGATAATTCATATATGTTAGATATCTTGAATCCAGTAAGAGCTAAAACTCATTATGTTCTTTGTTGTAGCATATTGGATTGGACAGGGTGCCGTTTTGTTCGAAAGATTGGATTGATGGGGGTATTTGGTTTTATGATGGCCAGGTTGATCAAAATCACATGGTCTTTTTTATATTGTGAGAAGAAAAAGACACCGGAACAGGTGATTGGCCATACCACATTTTTATCTTTTCTGCATATTTCACTCTTCATGCATTTCTGTAGGTTCATTTGGTATTGTTCTCCAGGTTAGTTGCAACAACTTCAGGATATTCTATGTTTATTTTGGCAGCCAAT